AGTACCACGTTTGTATTATACATCATTAGCCGGCAGAATATCGTGTATATTCAAGACCAAGCATCACAATACCGCTAGACGTGGCATCGACGTCTTCCTGAGGCTCAACGCATTCAGCAGTCGTAGAAGAGGCTGCTTCTGGTAGTGTAGGCTGCTGTGCTTCTTTGGCAGCTTTCTCTGTTTCAATATAACACGTTAGACTGTCATTATGCGATGCAAAATAATTCAAGGTCTTACCAAGATCAATGCGGTCTAAGTAGCGCATTAATTCCTCTTCTCCGACGAAAACATCGACGCCACGGGTGTCCTTCTTGGTCTTACCAGGCTTCAAGTATGTGAAGTCAACAGAGAGGCCAGCCGGCCTCTTCGAAGACCAGCCTTCCTTCTTCAGCTCAGCCCAGCGGGCGCGAAAACCTGACATCTCTTGGACTCGGCGCAAATTCTTTAATGAGTGAAATGAGTGGCGTGTGAGCTATTGACTGTAAGAATTTGTCATACGTAGTCCACACCACACTAAAACCTCTTCGACTCAATTTTTAGAAAATGGAAAGACGCACTTCGAGCGGGAAAAGATTTGGTGAGACAACCCGGCACCCCGTCCCCTATTTCATTTAAAGTTTGTAAACCTCAATACAAACGTCAAGTCAAAATTCCTTATCGTGTATGGTCCAGGATAAGCTTTTTCTGATATCGTGTCTAATACAGGCCGTCGCGTCCAAGGGGTTAAACACGTGGGTTGACCCATCCAGCAAAGATGACGACAAATTACCTTGCTAAACTTGTATGTGGTGATACTGTATTGTAGCCTGCCAGAAAGTATTTACCCAAGCCGCACACGCAACATTAATTCTTTCTTCGCGCGACAGTCCAGATCTTAGCGAGCATTATCGTTAAGTGTCCACTATTAGTCGGGCACGGGGTACACATTTGGAAGTGCGCTGTAGATGCAGCTATAACATCTCGGCACCGGCATATGCCGCAATCTGGGGAGACGGCGGAGTGGCTGATACGCATCCAGAAGTGATAGTGCAGCGTCACGCCAGCGTGGACTCGTACGGGCAACCCAATCTTTTTTTAATAGTACAGCGTCACACCTACGTGAACTCGTACGGGCAGCGCGATCTTTTGCACTGCACACCACGGACTTTAAAGATTTCATTAAACTGCTGTCAAGAGTTGTG